CTCTCTCTCTCTCTCTCTCTCTCTCTCTCTCTCCACACAGGCTTGGAATAAGTCATATTATTATTTCAGGCCGACAGCGGCGGTCCTCTTGCATGTCGTTATAAGAACAGGTGGATATTGTATGGTAGGTATTCACGAGGTTGCAAGCCCGGTGCATTTACGCTCGTTCAATTCCTGTCATTTTAATTTTAATTTATTTCTATTTTTGCTCATAGTTTGACGAACAATTGATCTGCCCATTTTGAGAACCGCAGTGAAGGCATTCCTGTGCATACAGTGGATGTAACTACTGCATCCATTGAGTAAAACTATCACATTCGACTTGCCACACCTAACGCAATTACTTTCTTTGGTTTTTACCATTCATCAACTTATCTTTCTTTTACCTTACAATTCATTTGGTATCCAATGAAGATTTTTACCAACCGTTCCCCCCCCCTCTCTCTTTATCCTAAAATTCCAATGAAGAGTTTGTTCGTATGATAATTCTCATTCGTTTATTTATGTTAATTCGGTGAGATGCTTCATCACATCTCCGCATTAGAAAAACACTTTTATAGTTAAAACAAGTGTGGCAATCTTTCACAAAATTCATTTCATATCAAAAATTATTGTACTTGTAGGAGTAACATCTCTTGGTCTAAATGGTCCTGACCGTCTATACAGTGTTCAGTCTCAACTGCCGCCAGCTTTCGTAATGCCACTGAAGGAAATAATTGCAGACGAGGAAAATGTTAGAGAAGAGCAAGAGACAAGACAGCTAAGATGCGGCAACGGACCTGGAATCTACACTGACGTGGCGAAATTTAAGAAGTGGATCGAGAGAACGATAAGAACCAACTAATTTATATCCTGTTGAATTACACAGTAGCTAACGTCTATTCAAAGCATTACACGTATTTCATCAACATTAAGCACACGTGAACTAACCCATACATCTGTACCTTATGGCTGACATTTGAAAAACGTCTATGAATTGAATTCATTTTATTGCATTTCTTTCTATATGGAAATATTCGGGATTCAAAAAAACTCAATTATGTTGAATGCGTTACAAACGAGTATTTAGCAGTGTCCATGGGGGCTACTGTAACAAGCATCATTTACGATGTGCATAGAAAACTCGACTGATTCATTGTGTAGTCTCCCAGTAAAAAATATCGAAAGACAATTAAAAATCTATCTCTTAATCCGTCGATTTGAAGCGGGCTTAATTTTTTTAATGTGCCACTGCCATTTATCAATGGTATTTTAACATTTTAAAAAAAGATTTTCAGTTGTCAATAAAATAGTCAAGCAAATTAATAATAAGTCTTTGTTTAGTTTCTCATATACATGTATCTGAAAACTGTAGTCCTGACCGGTATATTACCTTTGTCCGTTTCTAGGACAATCCACCCTCTGACCATCCCCCCTGGCCTCCCCAGGACAATAACTCTAAATGGGATGGTGATGATGTTTTAACCACTTACAAAAACGGCACTCTCACCAGTTCTTCTTCCTTTCCTTCAATGCAGTGTGACCAGGCGTGAGAAAATATGATACTCACGCTCCACATTCAGTTGGTTTCAGCTCAATGTGGCCACCACTATTAAAAAATAAAAAGACTATCGTTATCTTATTACAGTAGCAAAGTCCAATAACGTCCGGGACGGTAGTGCAGGCAAGGAGATTGAAAAAAAAAATCCCTTCCTTTTCTTGACGTTTACTCTTTTCAAATGTTTATCCAGTTCAGAGAGACACATAGCTTTCTGATAAATTATGCGAGGTCCTGCAAAATGCGAAATCCACGAAATCCTAGTCGTTTTGGCACTTTTGGGGCCTACTGAATTAAGCAAGTACAGGCTCCTGTGGGCCGCAGTATACCGTATTTGCACCACGTAAAGTAACCACGTAAAACATTTTAACCGAAATCATTAATTTTAAAAAATCAATATTCTACGAAGGTAGAAAGCGTGAAATCAAATAGCCATGGTCACCACTTACGAAACGACAAATGTGAACGTCCCTGGACACTTGTTTCGGCGGAGCTCCGGTATCTAAGATTAGACGCGTTTCTCTATCTTAATAGTTTTCATTTTACTCCCGTAACTATCAAGGGAATCTTTCAGCCTGCGTGAAAGAAGCAGATACAAGAGATGGGAGATCCCTGTGGCAAGCAGTGTAAGACATGACCACACTATCACTAAATTCAATCCCTCACAAAATCAATTATCAAACGCCTACAAAGAGTTTCGGGAAATGCAGGGACTACACATGTATAAGCTTAGGAAACGATACTGAGACCAAGTACAAACTCAGTGATAGTTATGATGATGGGACGGTACAAACACTTACGTAAAGATCAATGACGCCAACTAATGGTGTTTTAATTGGATTTTGTGATTAATTAGCACTGTATGATATAACTGTATTGTGCATTTAAGCAGAATTAGTTGAAGTAACATCAAAAAGCGCTATCGTACACGTAATGCTTTAATTGGAGATCGATTGATGTGAGATGATTACTGTCATATAAAACATTTGTATATATTTAATGACACGCCGACATATGACGAGAACGTTTTTCTCAAAAATAAAAAACGACCAAAATGATATTGATAAAAATTTCTAAAAACTCTTTTATCCTTTAAGATTTAAGAAGCGTGCCATATTGGCAAAAAATTAGTTAGTAAAAACGTACATATTAAGACCAAAGGCGCCAATATTACAGCGTCTCCTTACGTCGCGAGAGACACTGTAGCAGGGACAACCCACCAAAATAAATAGATAATAGACAACAAACGCATTGTTTATTTGCAGTAGTCAAAGACTAATCCTTTGGCATGCTAGACACTTTTTTTACTTTATTTTTACATTTAATTTAATGAAGCTTTTTTGGGGGGTGACACATCGTTAGTTTTTATTGGTTCTCAAGTTTGTATGATACGAGGGTATCTAAACTATAGGCCCCTATACATGTAGATAAATATCATCTGCACAGTGGGTGTTTCAAAGCCAAGCCAGTTATCAACAAACAAATCGCTCAGTCTTTCTTTTAATATTTCTAGGTTAGGTAATAATCATCCCCAAATCATTCTCTTCTTCACTCGTCTGGAACTTTTGCATAAATGAAATACGAACGCCGTAGAGGGAAATACAGAGGATATTAGTATGGCTCAAACACAGCAGCTGAGCATTCGACCCGATGTCCCTGTACTCCCCATGCTTAATAAAGTAAAGTAATGGTAATCTAATAAAGAGCACATCATGATATGAAAAATCCTAATGCCTCACTGTCTCTATTGGCCTCTGTAATCGAATAACCCGGAGATAGCATGGCTGCGTTGCCTGGCTCGACAAACACCCCTTTACGATATTGACAGATATTATGTACGTCTGGGAAAAAGGAATTTAGTCATTACTTAATAGAGATTGATGGATAAGGTAGAGTACGAGAGCCCTCAGCAGATAATACAGTATTGTTAGGAAATAGATGTATTGACGAACAAATGCAGTTTATTGACTCCCTTTGCTCTTAAAAATATCAAAACGTGACTGAAGCGTTTTGAATGACAGCACTCCGTCATAGTTGGACCTTTCTGCGATTGTTGTAATTTTTGACGCAATTTTTAATGTAATTTTTATTTTTCTTTCCTCCTAAGCTTCCTTTTTTATTTGAATCAACAAAACAGTTCCTCCAAATTGATGCAGAGTAGAATAACAAAGTAGAATCCAACACCTGTGGGTTGTTAGTAGCCACTTAACGATAGGGTAGAACCTAGGACAGGCGCAAAAGGTTCAACAGCTCGTGCTGGCAACAGAAACACGTCTTTAGAGCTTTTTACAAAAACTGCGATATTTGTTGAATGTTATCGGCGCTTAATGAGGAGTTGAGGAGAGAAACACATTGTGCTGACGTTCTCCATGGGTATACCAAGACCTATGTCCAGAATATGTGCCAGTTTTAAAGGACGCTCAAACTAACTTGGACCCCTTTGACGCCGTGGTGGAGTGCGGACGCTGACGACTTGCACCTTATTTATTAATAAGATCCCACAACTGTGACTACATAGCAAGGATGAAGATGAGTTTGATAGTGGTTCTTTTGATCGGCTTTCAGTTATCAGGTAGAATATTGTTTTAATATTTATACGAATATCAGTAGGAGCAGCTGCCAAATTATTTCTAATTGCTTACTGTTTACAGTGTCTCGACGTGGTGTCATTTGTATTAAGATTAATTATTTATTTCATCCACTAGTTTCGTAGAAAGTTAAAGGTAGCCAAGCTCTGTTGAATTAGAAAAAAGATGTAGTTAACCGTACTAAAATGTTTTAAAAAAAGTTTATTATACAGTTTTTCTCTAGTCAATTTTAGCCAGAAGTGAATACATGGTTATCCAAGTATCGGAAGCCAGAATTAAATGGATGATTATCCAAGCATTTCTTGTCTTTTCAACACTGTCGGTTGGGATACAATTATTTTTTCTTTTATTTTTATCTTTTCTCCCCCTCTCTCTCTCTCTCTCTCTCTCTCTCTCTCTCTCTGTTCCTTTTCTTTTTCTTTTTTTTCTGTATTTTTCATATATCTTAAAATGATATTGTGATTTTTCCAAAAGGTTGCAGCACATGATTTGGATATGAATGCCAGTTAAAGAGATGCCTGTGGAATATTGACACGAAATAAAACATAAGCAAATTTAATGACGTCGTCGAATATTTTTCAAAGGAATCACTCCGTCACTTAATCACCGTACGCGTAAAAGACGACCTTTTCTTGACCGAGCACGACCACCGAAACTTAAAATTTATACCTGTTTTTTTTCCTTTTTTCCGAACTAGTGAATTAGAACTATTGCGATCTTGAACATCATTTACTTGATGGGACTGAATTTCAGTGTTTATTTTCCGAGTCATTTCCATAAAATCAATACTTTCTAATTTGTCTAATTGAAATAAAAAAGCAACCATTGCATTACACGTGTTTTTCAACAACAGAGAAAGGTCCAACCTAATTCAAAATTCAGGTAATGAGATGAAAACTGAGCATGCAATGGTACATATTTTTCTCTGCATGTCACGAGCACTGCTCTTGTAGACTTATATTTACGCATCAAAACAGATGTCGTACAGGGAATGGAGAAGATGATTAGATCAGTCAAGTGCAAAACTGGTTTTCTCCCGTGAAACGAAATCGTCTCATGAAGCATTAAGTTCACACCAATACATTAAAACAAAAGGGTGAGCACAGCCAAAGACACTACAGTTATCATAATGAAAAAAAAACTAAACAAATAACCCTAACCTGCCAAGCTTGTCTCTTTAATTTCAGCTGGCGGGCTCATACCAACTACGGATGGCCGGTTCATTTTTAACGGTAACTCATGGGAATATAACCACCATTTTCCATATAAAGAAAACCAACTGCACGGCCGGCTATGGTTTAAAGATAACAAATGGTGGCAGGAAAAACCAGGTTCCACAGATGACAAGGGCCTTAAAGAGTTTCTATCCAAATTCCCCCCTACAGAACCTTCATCCCACCAATGCGGCGTTCAGAGTCTCCCCACGCCCGGATTCAGAGACAGTAGAAAGAGGATCATCGGTGGTAAACCTGCAGAGCCAGGGAACTGGCCTTGGGTGGTGAGTTAATATACCGCCTCTTTTCTAGATCTACTGATTTAACTAGGTAACGCAGAGTTGTCGGTATAGAGGTATGGGGGAGAGTCAGGGTGACTTCTCTTGAAGTCGGGGTGTTAGAATTGAACGAGTGTTACTGTGTTTTTGAGAACTTAGGGTAAATAAAACTCTACATAGTATGCGCTCCTCCGTTGTTTTGACTGTTACCAGAGGTGAGGTCTGTTGATTCAGGGTGCTTTATAAGGTGAATGGTGTTTTACGTGGTACGTTTTAAAATACTGAAAGCAAAAGAACAGGTAAGTTTACGTAACATGATGATAAAGGATATTTCCAAATAAAAACACTGGTTAGGAAAAAGAGATGAACCACAGTTATTCGAACAAAAATGTTGCTTGAAAAGACCATTTCGCACCATTATTTGAATATCATTATCCAAAATGCTACCACCGACACTTACGGGATGAATCATTATTCACTTGCATTATTTTGCCCAAATTGAGCGCATTAGAAAGTTCGACTCTTAAGGAAAAATGACTTAAAAGTGTCAAAAATACGCGCATTTGGTCACAACGCGTAATGAAATGATGGGGGTAATGGAATTTTTCGCCCACCGCAATTTCTAAAATAACGATCTATCTATTCTAAGGGGAATAGGGAATAATTCTCTTTGCAATATATAAGTTCCTTTCCTCTGCCTAAAATCGATCTTGTACCCTTTTAATTGCTTAGAGAATACGTGGGTCAGATGATGCGCTTTCTGCTGGAAGTGCCACAGCAATCATTTCAAGTTTATGGAATTTTGATAAGATACAAAGTTGCAATATACGCTTGCAAATTTCGGTTATTGGTGTTAAATATTTCATCTTTATTTGAGTAAATCTGTGTATATTGCTTTCTGGCAAATCTACAAATCGATATACAGTATGTGCAATTTTGTAAATCGCAGTTCACTTTTAAGACTGAAATGGCTCCAAAGTGCCAATTACATATACACCTTTTTCATTTATTTGTCAATGCCAATGAAATGTACATCTTTTTCACAGTCGAATGTTCTATCATATATTGTAGGCACAAATAGCTTATGGTCGCCCCCCTATACTGGGTCATTTGTGTGGAGGAGTACTTATTGCCCCACAGTTTATGCTCACTGCGGCTCACTGTGCTACGTTTTTCGGGTAAGTTACATGTATCGTGTATTCCATGTGTGCCACGTCCTTTCTCTATTCTTTTTACATTAAAGAACATCATTCATATTTCTCTGTGAACACATCTTTTTTCATATTATTGTATTAATACATAGTTAATGGCTTGAATAAAGATGATTGATGAAAATACCACGAGTGTTAACTGAGAAATTATTTGATATTTTTATCGTTATCATCACTCTTTCTTTCTATATCCCCTCTCTCTCTGATTTTGTTTTGTTGTGTGGCGGCATCTAACACTCTTAGCTGCATGTATTTTAAATAAATCTTTTTTTTTTTGCTCATTAGATATTTGTACATGTAGTTATCTAAATATTATGTTATCGACCTAATTGATTCTCCTTTAATTGCATATGTATATTAATCGAGGTACAAGTAGGGCCTACATGTATATCCTGTTATGATCATCAGTAATTTACGGTTGATCTCTCTCTCTCTCCCTCCCTCTCTCTCTCTCTCTCTCTCGCGGGCGCGCGCGCTCACCACTAGCAAATGGTGTTTAAAATGTGTTTTCATTATACAAAGCCTATCATTATTAATTTAGTGAAAGACTAGACCAGTGGCAGATCACGCTTGGAGAGTCAGACCTGCTACTGGAGGAGGGTTCTGAGCAAGTTTATACTGTAGCTACGTGGGAAAACCATCCAGATTTTGATCCAGCAACTCTGAACAATGATGTGACGTTGGTGAAACTTGACCGACCTGTGGCTGGGAGTAAATACGTCAGCCCTATCTGTTTGCCTACCTTCCGAGAAGATGGCGGAACCAAATGCATTGTCGCTGGTTGGGGCTTTTCTAAACGTATGTACAGGGTAAATCTCACGACGGGTGTTGCTGACGAAAATTAAAAAAAAAAACATAAAAAGAGAAATAAAATATAGTATACAGATACCACTGCCTGATTATAATTATTATAATCACACTTTGTTTATTGATAAAGTGATTCCAGAAAGTGTTAGTTGTCGTCGATGTATATGTATATGTATATGTACTTCAGCCTTCTGAGCCAACTGTTTAATAAGGGATCTGTTTGCTCTGTCCTGCTTTAGCAACCTTTTCGTTCAGACTCGAACAGTTAATTCTATTATTTACGTTTTGTTCTTATTTTTCATCGGAATAAAACCCTTGCAGCAGTGTCACTTTGCTTTCAGGTCGACGTATCGAAAAATCGACAAAAATTTGAAACTACAATCATAAATCTGTTGTCTTTTAAATCATCGGTAATATCATAGTTTCATTGTGGGNTACATGTATACTGTGTATGATTTATTTGGGCATTTCATTAATGATTCTGCCTGATAACTGTCTTGTATAGGCCTACTTGATAGAAACCATTACTGTATGGTTGACAAACATACACAAAGTTTGCAGGCAAAAATCGGCTGTATATATATAGAAGTTACTTACATCTTGGACATAATAACGAATTTGTGTCGTTTTTATATCCAAGTAGTTTACATTGATGAAGTTACGTGCGTACATTGCGGAATGGAGTAAATGATAGTAAACGATAGTAAAGACGTGTAGACGCGAACGTACATGTAGGCCTATGACTTGTTTGAACACCTAATAAATATATAAATAAATAAATAAATATCAGGTTGTAATTAAGTCATCTCACTGAGTGGGTCAGAACTCGCATCCAGACTATCTCTCGAAAGCCTCATACCTGTATCTCAAGTTTATATCGGCATTTTAGCCGATTAATTACGATGTCGGATAGATGGATCTAGCGGTACCTGGATCTAAAGATACGTGGGTTTATAGGAAACTGTTGGTGGATCTATCGGAACGTAAATTTAACGAGACGTAAATCTATTGAGACGTGTATGTATAGAGACGTATCTATCGGGACGAATATTTTATTGGGACGTTTATCTATATGGCGGACCCCATTGTTGAATTACCACATGTAAATAATAATTTTACCGAAATTTTAACCTACATAGCTTTAACTGTTGCAGGAATGTCAATATTGTTATCGTTAGCAGTAGGTTACAAGAAGAAAGTTTTATCAACAACTTTACTGGCAATTCAAAAGGTCAAAGCAGCTCCAACTTTTGCTTATACCATCACCACAACACCAATGCCAACATCAACTTGGTTTGAATGGTTGAACATGAAAATGTGTCAATTATAACATCATGCGTTGTTATTATTTTATTTATTGCCATCTTGATTGGGGTATGTTCAATGAATTGTCTTGCTATCGAATTGGTTACAGAAGAGCGGTTCATTATTTTGCCCATCAAAACATTATCATATTGTCCAAACAATTACAATGTAACCTATGAAACCGTATTGACAAGTGTTTATCTCACCAAGGGTGTTTTTCTGACTATTCATTTTGAATGGGGAGATGTAGAAATTATCAAACAGGTCAATCAAAAGGCTCTTTACTTGCCAGTTAAGGTTCAAATAAATTGCTGGAGGTATTCGAAATAAATGAAAGTACTCCAAGAGAATTTTGATGCCAGAATCATTTTTCTGAATGTTCAATTTCTGGTTTATCCTTGAATAAATGTATATTTCTTTTCATATAAAGGGAGGAGAGAAATTAGCATTGTGCCAGTATTAAATTGTTTAAATGTAAATATTAAACAAAAGGAGGATGGTTTACTCAAATGCTTGCTTTTTCTACACTTGTTTTGTTGTGCCTAGCTTTTGTTTGTAATAAACATATATTGCATTTAGTAAGATTCTTGCCATATTATTTGTTTAAATTATGTCAAGGAATTATACAGATTTATTTATTTATTTATTTTTTTACAACTTTTTATAAGTTTGTTTGTTACACTATTAAACAATGTGTTCTAGTGACAAATAACGACGGCCTGGAGATTTCAAACGTTTATTCACCGACTCTATTTTCATACAACTTCACAAATATTTATACTCTCTTTCTCCGCACTGATCATGCATTGACTTGTTTTCTTTCCATTGTCTTTGCATGATTACAAAGGGTTTTCCATTCTCATGTTGCAAATCACCATTCAACATTTCCTTATTAGGTAATTTCTAAGAGACTTGTTTTCAATTAAAAATATCTAAAATATTATTTGTATTACTCATGCTTGGACCTTATCCAAAACTCAGCTATCGTGTGATAAACAGTTGATCAAAAGTAAAATATGTTATGAAATTAACCAATCACATAAACTGTTATTGACTTTAACCTTTTCCATCTTTTTTCTGACACTGAAAACATGTTCTACACTTGTTGACTCTTGATGAAAATTAAGTTACACTCAATAACTCCCTATCCTTTTACACATTTGATTCCATTTTAATTATTATCTGCAATTAGTGAAAGTGTAAGTCATTTTCTTTACACCAAATGTTTACAACTGTAATTAATTAAGCAAGCTTTTGAGTAAAATGGTTTTAACTTTTATAATATAGAATTTTATGGGTAATATAGATTGTTAAATTTTATTTGCAAGAGTTTTTGAGGCTCAAAACTTATTTGAACAGGAGATCAATTATGATAAGATTTATTTGGGTTCAAAGCTGAGTTACTGTGGATCTGAAGTATTTTATTCACACGTACTTGAATGAAGTCAAAAGCAAAAGATGTGTTGGCATGCATTAGGTAGGCCTATGTGTGAGAGTTATCTTCCAGAGTCTCTCAGCAGAAAGTAAAAAAGTTACACATGAAATAATGTTATTTAACTAGCTACGTAAGTGTTGTAAATATGTGATTAAAACTGAATAAAGAAATCTTTTTGATCTTAGAACTGAGATGGCAGCTTTGTTGTTAGCCTACTTAATTGACACTGGTATCGCTCTCTGATAGCACATTACTCCAAACTTCAAAATTGCAATATGTTATATATTCCCTTCCCTGCAGGCAAACGACATTGATTCTACGTTGATTCAACGTTGATCCACCAAAATTAACGTTGATTCAACGGTGAACCAATGTCGTTTGTCTGCTGGGTTATGTCTCCAAGACATAGGCCTACATGTAGGCCCATGTTACTATTGAACTTGAATAGGAAGTCATAAACTGGATCTCTAACTGTGACCTTGAAATTGACCTTTGAACTTCTTTTCACCATGAACTGAACTTCGCAACATTTAAGTCCCTTATTTCTCCAAAACTGGCAGAGATAAGTTGCGTAATCTTACTGTGACCTTGAAATGACCTTTAACCTACTTTTTGCCATGTACCGCACTTCACAAATTTGGATTTAAATTTTTACTTTTCTGTACGATTTTGTTTGAAATGGTAGGCCTACTTTTCAACAAAAATACTGAGAACTCTTGTTTACTGCATTTTGTAGAGCTTGTCAAGCACAGCACTGGAGGTGGTGTCCCCTTTTTATGTACAGACACAGATGTGTCTGTACATATAGCCATCACCTTCGTCTGTCGTCGCCGTCGTCGCCGTGCACTTTTACCGATAACACGATAAGTGGAAATCTGTTTTTTTTTCTTTTGGCTTGAAACTTACAGAATTGATGAATATTCATAATACGCAGGTCAAGTTCGAAAATCAGCATGATCGAGTGATTTTTAGGGAATTAAGTTATGCTGTTTTTTTTTTTTTTTTTTCACTTTTTTCAGCATATATGCAGCACCGATAACACGATAAGTGGAAAACCATTTTACTTTTTGGCTTGAAACTTACAAAACTGATGAATATTCATAATACGCAGGTCAAGTTTGAAAATCAGAATGATCGGGCCATTTATATGGAAGTTATGCTGTTCTTTCACTTTTATCAGCATATATGCAGCACCGATAACATGATAAGTGGAAAACCGTTTTACCTTTTGGCTTGAAATTTACAGAACTGAAGAACATTCATAATACACAGGTCAAGTTTGAAAATCAGCATGATTGGGCAATTTTTATGGAAGTTATCCTGTTTTTTGTTTGTTTTCTTTTTTTTTTCAATTTTTTCAGCATTTTTATAACACCGATAACATGATAAGTGTAAAAATGTTTTTCCTTTTGGATTCATAATACACAGGTCAAGTTTGAAAATTGGGTTGATTGGACTATTTTTACAAAAGTAATACTGTTTTTTTTTTTCCTTTATTCAGCATACATGCAACACTGATAATGCATTTTAAGGAAAACCAATCAGCCGTTTGTCTTGCAACTCACAGGAGTGATCAGTCTGACCAGTATACAGATCAAGTTTGAAAATAAGCTTGATCAGTTAAGTTTTGATGAAGTTATTAGCCTTTTTGTATATATAAGTGGTTTTTCTTCAGATTTAATTCTTAGGCATGTTAACAGTCTCATTAGGGAACTAATTAGATATGTAAAAGTTGTTTTGACATTTTCTGCTTCTTAACAATATTGTTAGTTGATTATATAAAAATGACGGTAAACCTATTATCGTGTATTGTGTAATAAAGTATCAAAAATGGAAAGGAACTCATCATTGCAGTTTGTCAGATTCAATCATTCAATTCATTCACCATGTTCAGAATCTCCAAATGGAGCAAATTGGACATTTAAAATTGTTCTATTGATATTTTTTCTGATATTTTTATATGTCAACAATTTTCCTAGTTGATCATTTAAAAATGACAGTAAATTGATTATTTTGTTTTATGTAAAAAAGGTGTTGAAAATGGAAAGAAAATCATTTCAGTGCAGTTATCTCTTGTTTATATTTTGGCATATTGAAAGTGTGACTTTGAACTTCCATGGCCTTGGAGACCTTTCCATATCACATTTTCTGAATATCCATGATACTTTTATTTTTTTATAAAAAATGGATTGTCATTTTGCTGTGAAGTATTATGTTATATTGCATGAAAGTTGAAGAAAACCCTATTTTGGACACTGCTGCCAGGATAGTGATTAAGGAAAAACCATGTTACTTATG